AATAAACAGTTATGATTCCATTGAGGGAGAAAAGTACACCCTCTGAAGAGATTACTCGGTAGTTGCTACAACCATTCACACTACTCGCTTAACTGGGTGTTACCCTTTGGGAACTCATATCCCTAAACACATTCCTATAGATTATCGCGCATTGGTTTTTAGGCAATGCACATCCGACTGCTAGACAGCTGGTTTTATTGTCAAAAAGAGCTGTTCCAAATAGGCCCAATGTGAATGTAAAATACAGGTCTCATTATGCACTCAATGAGCCATTTTTTCTATCGAATACCTGTTATAGTCGGATTTTGTTCTCATTTTGTATCATGACATTCGCTGTGAGTCATGATAATTTGTGCATATTGTGACTCATGATTATCCCGCCCACAGTTTATTCAGGTGGAGCCGAAGCGTAGGAGTCTTAAATGACAGACACATGCTACCGTTTTTTCCAGATTGATTTGCGAATACAATCAACAGCACGCAGCATCATTTGTTGGTTGATGAAGATCTTACGTGGTCATACTTGCGCGGGAGACCGATATGATAAGAATGAACCTTCCTGGCTCGTCAAATGTACTCATACCTATGATCAGTGGGATGCATCAGAATTATGTTCGGTGTAAATGAGCACCGAAAATCCAATGCGAATACAACTGTAGACTACCAAATAAAAAATCCTAACTACCTCACATAGCACTTTTGAACTGTGAACCAGTGTTCTGATACAAGTCTACAGCTCACAATAAAATGAAATAAAGAGACAAAGGTAAGACAAAATCATTTAGACAGCATAATTTCCTCGAAATGGTTTGTGAATTAACTGTTAGACGTGATCGAATACGCTGAAGTCCGAAGCTGAATCTAGTTAATAGTTGTGACGGAGATACTGATTCCTCTATTATATATATTTAAATGGACAGGACCATTTTGGTTGATCCGACTGCTTTCGCGGGTTTTATGTTCTGCAGCTGATGTAACTACCCTAATCAATGGTTAGAGATACTCGATTCTACTTTGTTCAGTGTCATAAACAGTGTTGCGCGTTCATTCACTCTTATTCTATGGAAATCCGGTTATTTTAAATGCTTTTTGTTTCTTGCTCCCAGCCTTTCCATCCACCCGTTTAGTTCCGGCCCATTGGTCGACCAAATGGGTAACCAAGAGTCTGGAAGAAAAGTATAAATCCATACCAAACCTGAATCATTCCAGCATGGACTATTTGGACTAGATTGATGAAATTACTTTTCTCGCCTCCTCTCTGTGCCCTGATAAGAACGCAGTGCGGTTAGACCCCCGAAATATGTTTCCTAAAAATGTTCGGTGTATGGTTAACTGGAAGAGCTGAAGAATGAGCGTGAAGGTGAAGCCTTAATGATGGTCAGTTCTGATAAATCATTAATACTTATCGCACAACACTACTCACAAGTAACTGTGAATTAATTGAAAATGTTTTGACCAAGTTGTACATGTTCCGTAGATTCCTCGGTAGGATAAAAATATAACTGTTTGCTGCCTTGAATTTTCATCGGAACTCAAATCAATGTGAATAAAAATAGCTAATTCTTGGGTGCTTGAAATAAAACTTATCATGGACCTTTGACTGAAATTCCGCCCAACCACGTCAAGTTCATTCTTTCTAATTATCGTTTCCTTTAACTATGGCTACAACTTAGACAAGCTTTTCATTTTTCTCGGTCCTATTGCGAGCGTCAGGTTCGGTAAACCTTTAAGATATGTTTTGATACTTATACCAAATGTTATGAGCACCCGAATGGTTTTATGCGACGCTGAACTCCTCTTTCACGCATACGAATACGAGACCACGGAACTCTATCGGGTCTGTATTCAGACTACTGATATTTGGCAAGTAAACACAAGTCAGTCAGGAAATTGGCATCTGAATACGGTATTAATCTCGTGCAGATTAGTGATTTTCGTTACAATGCACGACAACTCGTTCAACCTGATTGTAATGTGTACTTCTGAGATTAATGCAGACTTTTGTCATATTTCTGCTTTAATTGTACAGAATGTTTTACCAAATGAGTATATAGTTATTCTAACGGTCATTTTTCAAAATTTGTCCGATTTTATTCACCTGTAACTATCGTCAGCAGCAATCAAATGATTAAGCTGGTTTCGATGGTGAAAAAATCAACAGTTACCGGAACTGGTCCATACCATAATTTATTATTTCAATAATTAAGATGGTTAGCTAAAAATTAGTGTTTTGGAAACATGGCTTTTCCCTCTAAATGCTGTACCATCGTTCAGAAGAAGACCCGAATCTCCACCAGTTGGTTTGAGAGAATTTAAATAATACTCATAAAAGATTAATTTCAAAGGTAATGTTCCAGAAGTTAGAAACATACACGGTACTGAGTGATGCATAGATTATAATATTCATTGTTTCGTTCTCACCATCCATCGTGCAATTTACTGCTTCGCAACGAACAACAATAGCATGCGAAGTTCTGGGGATATAGGACAGATATCTTACTCACCTTGTTGCTTGATTGCGATTCATATCGTCCGTCAACGACTCATCTAAATCGACCAACGGTGCGGGTCCACCCTCAAATAAGTTAATCAGTTTCATTACATTTTTCCGTCCGGGTGAAGCTGAGAAATCGGAATGGGGTGACAGGGCATGGGGCGTCTAAAATTTCTGACGATGAATATTGCCGTTTCCAAACCAATTAGAGACAGGTTGTGTAACGCTTTGTATTGCAACCAAAGAAGCAAATACATACATATGCAAATGGTGGTGATTTTATCTCCAAAACTTGTTCCTTAGATTGCAAAAGTGTATTCACCAAATTGTTGACTGTCACCCGAGTTATGTAGATAAAACGACGAGGCGGTTATCACAGCGAATCAAGGAGCATAAACCGGCTCCGCTGAGCACTGGTCGCATGAAATCAGTAGAAAATGCAGTCGTAGCCCCCGCAGAGAAACAGGGCAACAGATTGGCGATAACGATTTCAAGGTCATATGACTTATTCCTACGTTTTGTTCAAGGCTTTCAATAAAACCGCCAATGGACAACAGCGGAAGTGCTAGCAATTAGACCAATGAACCCATCGGTTTGGGCAGGAGAAAAGCGNCAAAGTCCTCCAACTGTCCTGGTCTCGCGCTGAACTAGAAAGTGAATTTGATCACGACCCTTCTCTCTCTCGCACGCGCGCGCGGGCGCGATGATGTTTTTAGAATTTGAAACTAATCTTGTAATGCTAAGCTTAACAGAGTTCCAAGACATGATCCATGAACTACTCTGTTTCCTTGCCTCAGTCCGTATTAATGCCTTTCGTTTTGTTACATATACCCACGAATTCCTTTACCCAACTTGGTGTAACTTTAATCTCTGACTAACATAACAAGATATAAACTGTATAAACTGTAACTGAAGACACCTGAACACAAAGTTAGGAAAACGTGGCTGTTCGCACACATGTTCTTTTCGGAATAACAGATGAGAATATTTTGTGAAATATGACTTAACACAAGCGAAACTCTCAGTCACTTTAAACAGTCTGAACTCTATCGAGAGTACGCTCCGAACCAATTTGTTGCCCTTCAATAGTTTTATAATTAACCTACGTGGCCGTACCATAGTTCTAACAATGTACTGAACGTTTACATTAGACGGATTGTCAATGAACTAGTAGAATTTTACCTCCAAGCTATAATCAAGCTATCTATATGCGATATTAATATTCAGGATGATCGACAAAGAGTAATGGTCAACTATTTCGTCTTGTCTGGAACTCGCCACTAGTGCGTACGTTTCTGTGTCCCTGACAGAACTCAAACTGTAAACTTGCGGTAGAAAGGCGTTTGCCTTGAACTACACGGTTAGTGGTCTCCGACTGCAAAATAAATTTATAGTATAGTATTGGATTGCCCCATTCGGCTTTTTACAGACACCAAGCACTTTCAGCAGTCCTGGGTGCAAGTTTCACACCATTGACTTTGTGGAAGCTACTGAAATCTGTCAATTTAATTCACAGATCTGTGCCAATTGTCACTGAATCTCCAGAAGAGAGTGAAAATCGGATTTGGTATTATTAAATAATGAAAACAACCATTTGAATGCTTTAAAACGTACCGTTTGTTGAAGAACCGACTTCCTTAGGTGCGGAACTGTGGGAACAAAGGGACAAAAGAAAATCAATCAACATATTAGCTCCACTTGGAACACATGATTGTTGAACTTTTTACCGTATCTTATTACAATCATTCTAGGTGGTTCAACAGTGAACAACAACAGGCCTATTTGGGTTTCCTCGTTTCACACCGTTTTGCAATGCTGTTTGCTAGTTCTGACCATAAATCTCAATAAATGACAATTTTGACCGTCTAAATCGGTTTGAAAATCAGTTTTTCACTTTAGAATGTCACAGAGCACGCCGATTGAGTATCTTGGAGCAGACTGCAATCGAACTATTCATTGTATCTCCACATCACCACCATCAAAGCTAACAGGGAGTGCATGGGCTTTCGACCCATCTTCAGCTGAGGTGCACCGAATTATTAGTGCATGGTAAACCGTACAGATCTCATTGCTAGTTACCCTGCATGAATGGCCACTGTTAAAGGTGTTTGTATGGCCAACTAATCCTTTTTCAGTAGATATTCACTCTAAAGTAAACGTGTACGATTTATTTCTTGAATCCATTGAGTTGATATATAATCACAGTATCGTACTGCCAATTTCTATGAACAATCAACTTCCTGGAAAGGACCTGTGTTCAAACAAAGGTTATCTGGAGAGGGGGGGGCACAGAACTGGGAAATTGATTATTGTTTGAGATAAATTTTTTAGCTGAGGAAAACTGTATTCATATTAAACCGGATGTACAGTTTATCTAAGTAAGTGTAACCTTTGGATCGTGAAAATCTTTTGATATGGAACCTTTCATTCGATCAGCTCACGGGTGAAAATGAAGCAGTTAACAACAAAATCCAAATTGACTCGGATAAAAATACGTGCAAAAGACAATGACTGTTAATCACACAATTATATTGGTTTACCCCTCCTGCTTTTATACTTACGTTACGTTGTCTTTTTAAATGCACATCTATCCTTAATCAAGTGTGTTTTGGATCATGGAAGATCGAGGGTTCTTACGAATTGTTTTTGTGAGCCTAGAGGGGTGTGTGTATGTGTAAGCGAACTCAGATCACTTCCGCTGTGGCCAGAATGCGACCCCCAATCCTCTTCGATCAGTAAGTAACTACGCATTCACCCATGCACACACTGGCGGTTTCTACAACTGGTACCAAAAATAGCGCGTGTTTTGGTCTTTGCCAAATAGTTTCTTCACCTAATGGACACGACATTTATGTGTTCACGCACTCCTATTGCTGAAGGTAACCAATTATGCACATTTTGAAGGGAAGTGAGTCCTACCTCGATTGAACTCTCACAATCAAACATGACTGTACTGTGCATTGTGTCCTGCTGGATGTTCGGTCAAATGTGTGTGTGAAAAATTAGTTGAATCAAATTGACCCCCAACACCTGTGCGACCACATGCAATACAGCGAAACTTCAATTCAGCAGAGCAAACACGTGCAAAATGTCGCGGTCATTTCCGATTTCCGAGTGAAAACATCAACAGCAGCAGCAGAAACATCGTCGTCACTGTAACGAACAAATCACGACTTTATTGCACATCGAACTGCGTGCTATTTGTTCGTTTTCAACGAACCCTGGACAATGCTTGAACCCTTTTGGTGTAACTTGAATAATCCAATGATGTGCGTACGTCTGGTTCGAATGAACGCCTGTGATAGACTGACCATTACAGGCTCCTCTAATGTGCACAAATCAAACACTTCAAACATTAAACCTGTATGCTTTTACTATCGTCTTTGAGTTTGATCAATACAATCAGGGCCAACCTGCCAACCAGTCAAAGATGGATAGTGTTAGAGCAATGCTAGGCTTTCTGCAACAGAAAGTAAAAAGTAGCCCTACTCTCCCTTTCCATTTATAAACATATACATTTCAGTAAACAGGCGCGTCAAACTATAGCCCATATGCAAATCAATGCTAATCAAGGATCAAATGAAGCAACCATGAAGGTTCAGTTTTGATTTGAGAACGGATCTGAATACCGCAATCAAGCTTGAGGAACAAATAACCTCTTCCTATGCTTGTTGGTTCAACAGTGAACCAGGTTGTTCTCAGTGAGCAAGACTGACAAAAGAGTCACCGAAGAAAAATATGATGAGAAAACGGGTAAAATCAGAACATCGATAGTCCAAAAGCACTGGAAATGTCACCTCCGCTGGTGATAAAACGTTTACAACCAAACTGCTAGGCTATCGCGTTCAGGCGAGAAAATCCAGGTCACTATTTTTGATTTTATCTACTGTATATACAATTGATTCACCATTAGGTCTCTCCACCATAGATCGATTAGTGGTTCGATCCAGCGGTCAACAGTGGTATTTTGAATAAAACTGGTTGATGATCTTGAAAACATTGATACATAAGTATATATTTATGTTTGGTGCAACGAATTCCGTCATTTCTTGGGAGTTTGCATAGCAGGAAATATATAAAATTGTGAGTGCTGACCACATTTCAGGCTTAGAGGACGGTCAAACAAATCGATTCACAAATCGAGTCACTCGTTAACTAAGTACTTTCGTAAAATGAATTAACCAGAAAACATTCTCGCCCTTTCAGAGAACCGTCTACTCTTTAATTTCAAATACTCCATAACAATTACTATAGTAGATGGGATACAAAAGTCGGTTTTTTAACTAATTCACTAAGGTTGCACTGAAAAGCACAAGTGCATGTTCAGAATTCAATGTAGTTGTATGTTCATTGTTTGCGAAAGTTTGCGACCAGAAAAAAATTAGCAACTTATTATTATACTGATAGGCTACATGAAATCTCTTCCAGCAGTTAGGTCTCTTATACGTGCGCACAAATTGAAGTGAAAACCAGAGACCAAGCGAATTGTTTCTTTGATTTAGGCTTATTACTAGAAAGTACTGGGTACACAAATACAAACGACCGTGTATATATTTTTGATTTTGCTTTAAAATGTGTACAATGGTCCCCGGGGATTTCGTGCTTATTGAAATCGTTAATACAATCAGAGATTTTAGATACGATGAGGGTTTTAGGGAACCCCTATTAAAATCATCGAATGAGTGCGTTTTGTGATACATACTCATCTACCGAGTTCGGATGACTTGTATGCGAATGTATAATCAAAAAATTTAAGGGTAACCGATAGGCTATGTACCTTTGTGCGCCATGTTTTCTCCGGTGATATTGAGTGCGACAGACCACGTGAGTCTCATTCTGGTGATAGACGTTTACATTAATTAAAATTTTTGGTGTCAAGCGTACATATTGGTTTTGTGTTCTCTAAGTTCATTAAATGCTTTACACGTGTTTATCCAAACAAAAAACATCTGATGAAATTCTGCATTTGTAAATGAAAATTTCAACATTTAAGTGACGTAGCAAACGGATTAGTTATGATTTTCCTTGATTAATCAATCGTATTTGAATGAATGTTACTTTAAACAATCAATCGCAAAGTTATTTTCAAATCTCGGACGGTTCGGTGACGGAAGGTTTTATAGGGACTATCAATGCGTTCCAAACTGTATTTAGAAGCGATCGCTATGTAAATGAATTGATTGTGTGAGCGAGACAGGCATTGTTAAAAAAGGAACTTGTGGATTATTTGAAAGATAACTTGAAAATCCTACTTATAAATTAGAATACGTGTGCAATGTTTCAACTAGGGTTTTCGTACATTTAAAACGGAAATTAAAAAAAAGAGCAAACAATCGGTAATTCAGTAAAATTTGGGAGGCGTAAGATAATCTCGTAACGATAGGTAATTGAGAAATCCAGATGGTAGGGAATAGATAGTGCGAGGACCAAAGTGTGTACAATCATGCCAACCGCATCTTTAGTGCAACATTCTACTAAAAAGGATACATTTTCTATCAGAAACCAGCTTGCGCCAATACTAAGAACATGGTTTCTCTGAAGCCTATGATTGAAAAAAGACCATTTGTGGAATTCAATTAGAGAAAGAAGTAACCCAATGAAATTGAGGTCGGTCTGAGTTGCGTAGCCGGGACTGTGTGGTTTAGAGTTGACTTCAGCCTTTGGTGCACATCATTTAAGACGTGATCCCATTGGATAGTTAAGTGTTGACAACCTTTTAGTTAACACTTTGTCAAGGTCAGTCTTTAGAAATTGTTCACTGTGAATGGCTGTGCGCCTTTCTCGGTAAGCACTGTTTAGCAATGTTCTTTGCCGCAATGGCTCTTATTTTTGTAGTGTATCTGGAGACCGAGGGTTCCTTGCCCAAAGAAAGAGTTTTCACAAGCTCTCCTTTGAAGGCTATTGTGTAACAGCTCGAAAAGTTTAGGCATTGAAAACTCCATATTGCTTTCCGGTAACCAGAGTATGCAAGTGTCTTATTTTATTACCTCTTTTATCTAGGGGTCCTGGGGAGTTGTTGCATTCTACTTCATGAGGTACTGTGAAGTGTGGAGTGACTAAGTTAAGAAGCTATTTAAGTGATTTAAACTGTTCAATGTCTTGTCACCGATTTGATCTTT